TTTTTGTGCACACCTGGGGACCGTACCAAGTGTGCACAAAAATCTCCCCCCCCCCAGGTGCCCCCGATGCGCGGATTTAGGTATCCGCACACAGGGGGTATCTTCGGAATTAGATATATAGATATGGAGCAGAGGTCCATTAGTGGCTATTAGCCACAAGGTATAGATAGGAGCTCTCAGTCTGGGGCAAGTGATGCTCTGTGTTCTTGGTGCTTGGGAGGAGGGGGCAACAGTGGGAGGGCTTCTAATGTCCTGGCCCCACTGGTGGACCTCCTGATGGCACCTGGTATTTCTGGCCACTGTGTGACAGAGTGTTGGACTGGATGGGCCTTTGGCCTGATCCAACATTGGCGTCTCTTATGTTCTTATGTTATGTTCTTATGTTCACTTCTCAGAAACTAAGCTGGGTTAGCCCTGGTTCGTATTTGGAGGGGAGGCCAGGTTTGAGTTTGGATGGGAGACCACCAGGGAAGTCCAGGGTTGCCACACAGAGGCAGGCAATGGCCAGCCACCTCTGATTGTCTCTTGTCTTGAAGACCATGAGGTGTGTCGCCGTAAGTTGGCTGCGACTTGACAAAAACAAATGAAACAGATGAGAGCCGGCTTCCTTGTGTTTTTAAAGAAGTGCCATCAGTTATCTTTTTGGCCCCGCCAACGGAAGCAGTTACTGTTTTAGCTCCTCAGAGGACATCGGATGCCATATTTCTACCAGCCACTTCTAGAGAAAGGTGGGGATGAAACGCATTTGGGGAAGGTTGGAATCGAAACTGGGAAGTGCAGAAATGGACCCACGTTTTCTTTTTTCAGATACGAGCCGCTGATGCTAAGAAAGCCAGACAGGCGGCGGAGCACGACTCAGACGTGGAGTTTTCGCGACGGAAAGCTGGTCTGCGGCATGCACGGGCTTGTCGTACAGGTAAGTGCTGACATGTGTTCTCCAGGCAAAGAGGTTCGGCTGGTTGTGTTCTGTAATGCTAGGGACTCCCAAAGATGCTTCTGATAAGCTACATTCCTTTAAAATGTTTTTTTTCCATCCTCCTTTAAAATGATGACTGTGCTCCTTTCTAGAGTGCAACCTTGGTGGTTAAGCAACCCTTTCATAAGGTAGGGATTTAAAAAAATCACAATTGGGTTTCTGTAATGGCGACATTAGTGCCTGTGAATAGTCATACAGTGTGATAGAAAGCTCTGTTCTTCGTTTTTTTACTTCATTTATACTCCCCCCTTTGTCCCTATTGGGGACCTCCAGAGGTTTGCACTGTTCTTCTCCATTTTCTCCTTGCAGCAACCCAGTGACATAGGTTAGTCTGAGGTTGTACGACTGGCCCAGGTTCACCCAGCAAGCTTCCGTGGCAGAGTGTGGATTCGAACTTGGGTCTCCCGCATCCTAGTCTGGTGCTCTAACCACTACACCATATTGGCTTGGCAGATCTTCTAGCCCAGTTTTTGCATGTTAATTGTTATTGTCACTACCCTGACTGTAGACAAGACTACCATACCTTGTGAGGTTGTTTGAGGGTCCAGAGCAGTTGCTCTGATCTCCGAACCAAGCTTGAACTCCCCCTAGAAGCTGAAATGACTAAACTGAGGCTATCACACTTTGGTCACATTATGAGAAGAGGAGTCACGGAAAAAGACAATAATGCCAGGGAAAGTTAAAGGCAGTAGAAAAAGAGGACAACCCAGCATGAGATGGGTTGACTCAATCAAGGAAGCCACGGTCCCCAGTTTGCAAGATCTGGGCAAGGCTGTTAATGACAGGATGCTTTGGAGGTCATGAATTCACGCAGACCTCCCCATCGCCAAAAGTTGGAAGTAGCCTGATGGCACTTAACACACACACACAGGTGTGTGAAAAGGAACAGCCCTGGCAACTGACCGGAAGGGTTTGGAGGGGGGCAAGCCTCGTGCTCTTACCAGAAGTGACAAAGGGTAGCTCTAGGAATCGCCGGAAACTCTGTGGTTTCTGGTGATTCCTAGAGCTACCCCTTGTCAATTCCAATAAGTACATGAGCTTGATATATATATATATAAAAAATAATCCTCCCAGTGCCGCTTTAAGCAGTAGTGGGCAAGAAGACCTGAGAGTGGAGAATCCCTTGGCAGCCCTACCTGCCCAGTGTGGCATGGTAGTCAGGACTGAAGAGATCCAGGTTCAAATCGCCACTCAGTCAGAGAACTCTTCTTGGTTGACCTTGGGCCAGACTCTCTCTCATTCCAATGCATATGGGAAACATTCATCAAATTCAGAGGAATCGAAAGTGGATTCTCACACAGGGTGGTTGTGAAGATACAGTGGAGGAAGGGAGGGGTGTGTATGCTGGCCAAAGCTGCTTGTCGGGGGGGGGGGGCATAAGAAAGCGTAATCGCCCAGCCGCCACTCCTTCTAGTTCACCAGTCTTTTGCCCTTTATCGTATAGGAATAGAAATTTGGATCACTTTCTGTTCCCTGGTGAGACCCGGACACAACACATGCCCGTCACGTTTTTTTTTTCCTTTCGAAAAGGGTTGCAGCCTCTGACTCTTTAGCTGGTTTGTCCATGCTCTCATACAGTTCTCATTTCCCAAAAATTTGTTCTCAAAAATTCTACGCTCCCCCTCCCCCGCTTGCTGCAAAAGGGAAGCATTCGCATTTTTTGAGCTAAATTGGTCTGACCGTGATGAATTGGCTTTCCGTAAGAAAAGGATTTTTCAAAGACAATAGGGGCAAAAAAAACACCCCTCCACGTCCAAAGGGTTAGCAGAAAGGAGCCGTTTTAGTCACTTTGATCAAAGGCTGACTACTCTGAATGCTACATCTGGAAAAAATTTGTCGGCCACGCCATAACAGATGTACTCCTCAGAATTCTTTAATAAAGAGATCCCGCCGGCATTTCTGATCCCTTGATTTACCCTGACTTTCTCTCCTTTTTCTCCTTAATTCAGTGCAACGCGTTGTGTCTTTTCCTTCCAGAGGGCTGCTTATCAGTACTGTAAAAGTTGCAGGCCCAGAGCTTAAAATGGAGAGGAGGAAAATACACAACACCAATTTTATGGCATGAAACAGGTCACAGCTATTTATTGGTTACAGAACAAGGAGCATTGGCAAACCATAGGGGCAGATCCAGGGATTGAGTGACTGGCCTGCCAAGTGATAAGGTGTCCCACAGCCTGCCTGCTGGGGAAAAACTAGTGACAAATATTTGGTGGTAACCCAAGAGCTGCTGCCGCTGAGGGACACAATTTGTCATCTGGGGTGAGCCTGCGAACAGCCCCCGAGCTGGGCATCCTCCATGGTGGCTCAAATCTCCAAGACCCCTTGAGGGAGTCCCCCACAAACGGGGAAGGTAGGCACACAGGCCCGTCTCCCCCAAAAGGATCCACCTTGATGTGCAAAACCGCCTAAGCTGTGACGGTTAGAACACACGTGCACAAACTGCAGGAAAAGGGAGGGAGGGGATCCGTAAAAACCCCGCTACAGAAACCACTAGGCAGCACAGTTTAAATAGAATTGACGGGACTCTACATAATTGCCACACAGAGCCCTGAGGCTCTGGCCTTTGCTGGCCAGCCAGAAAAGAGCAGGAAAGCCTCCTGCAGCCCCCCCCCCCCATTGCCCGCGCAGCAATCTCGGCCTCTTCTAGAAAGTCCCGGCCACATTTGTCATTCTCCTTGAGATCTCCCCGCCGTCTCGTGCCTTCTTGCTTGTGCCTATTGCACTATCGTGCCTTCTTTTAAGGCTGCGATCCAAGAGATCCCCAGGTCACATCTTTCTTCTGCCACAGACTCTCTAGGGA